GTTGTGTCTTTTAAAGACCTAGTCCAAAATGTATGTGCCCCTAAAATAAATTAAAAAATAGAACTTCGTGCCTGCTAAAGGAATAAGAATTCGAAGCTTTCAAACAGCCGTCAAGCTAGGGAGAATATTTCCCCTATTCCCATTTTTCAGATTTCACCAAGCAATCTAATACGAAGCTGGCAAATACTTTACCCAAACAACGACATCTAATGTAGTATTTCATTTCTAGTTTACGCCTCCTATTGATATTCCCGGCGCATCGGCAGATATCAGCGACTGGATATAAAACTTAGCGTGAGCTAAGGGTGGGCCGATTCTGACAGCGTTTTAAAAATTCACTAAAGTTTGCGTAATATATCGGTTAAAAGCAATCAAAAACTCTCTACAAGTTTTGCAAAAACCGTTTGTTTAGTTATCTTCATCATACCAAAAGGAGTCTGTTACAAATAGGCTAGTTGAATTATGTCAAATTGCACTATACAAATGTTTATTACTTAAAATGTTTGGTACGAGGAACCTGAATACATTGATTTCACTTCATAAAGTTAGAATATGGCTGTAGTTATTTAATTTGAAAAATGGGTTTTAGTCTATGCTTTTTAAACACTTAAAATGACTTTCAGACGGTAAAATTACAGGATTTAGCAAGTTTTAAACATGACTGTGTTCATGTGTAGGTGTGTTTCACTAGACAATTTAAACTACAACTTTTCTGGAGTCTTTAACGATGTGTTTCTACATTCTCGTATAATACAATCATGACAATTATTATATTTATCATGAAATCTATTAGAAATCATGGTTTTATAATATAAATTTAGTTTCAGGTTATTTCCTACGTGCTTCCGAATGTTTGTTTATGATTTTGTTGACGTCATAGCGTAGATAATCTATAGACTAAAATGGCCGACAGCGTTTTTGTATGTCCATGAAAAATCTATTGTAAAATTAAAGTTTTGCAGCTTTCAAGGTCAAAAAATTACAATACATTTTTTCGGTTTAATAGAACAATTATTAACCATTTAAAACATATTTCCAAAAAGTGTCAAGTAGCCTATTACAAGAAAAGATTACTGAACAAATTAAATCCGCAAATCCGATACATAAATTATAAGTACCTACAATACATATTATATTAATAATTGACTTAATAATTAGCAACATATTGCTCGTTTTCAAGCTTATGACGTAGATTCCTAAATAGGTACTCTATATTTATCTTACTTAATTATTACTTAACTACGTTTGTAAAGGAAAAAATATGGGTGCGTGTACTTAAGTACGCGCGTGAGAAATTATACTTCTTTTTGGAATTATTAAAAAATAGTTTTTAATTGCATGCAGATAATTAATTACAATAAGATAATAAAAGGATTGGAAAAGGATAGTCAACGCAGTCAATAAAGTTCAGTTTTAATTTGAAAAATTTAATAAATAATCAAAATATTCAATTTAAATCACTACTGAATAAAATTTATTAGCACATATAAATTTCGCATTTGTATAACATTATAACACGTGTTAAGAATATAGAAACTAGAAACATGTGGATAAATATTATAAATATGAAAACAGTGATCAGAGGCGACGAGCGTCCCAACATGTGCGACTAAGAGATCCTATTACTATTTTGTTGGAAGCTTTTTTTCGAGACTTACGAGTAATGTGCGGTTTAGCGGCCGACTTCATGGTGTTACTTTTCTGTTACAGTGTTGCGCGCGCATCTTAAAATTTCACTCTCAGCATTTTTTCATAACGCGGCTAAAAAAGTATAACTTCAAAAAAAAGTATTATGTAGTAAGTAACTGATTTTACTTAAGCTTATTTAACTTACTTTTCTTATATGCATTTTAACATTTATTATATTTTTAAGCAAATATCAGTTACTTTAAATATATTGTAAGCATGTAAATCGCTGGCATCAGCACCGTTCACTTTGCAGTAGGCAGTCCACGTCACGACTACGGTGGGCGTTGCAGCCACACGAGGGTGGCCTACAATTCAATGTGCTTTGTTTGTCCCGCGCTTCCTGCATCGAACTACATTTCAGCAATTAGGTCTTATACAAAATATACGTTGCTTGGCAACGCATTGACACATATAAAGGAAAATATCAATGCTTTCATGGAAATAAGTTTGCGTCAGGTCGAGCACTACTGACTTCCCGTTGTATTGTGTTATTCTATTCTACTTCGTGGAAGGATTAAGGCCTTTACTTCTTTATTTCGGTGCATTGCTTATGCTGTTATTTGAGATGCTGGAATGCACAGGGTTACTGAATAGGGAACGGGTTGCTACCAATAATGCTAGTTTGATGCTAATCTGATTATTTGCAGGGTTATTTTTAACATTTTTTTACATACTAACTTTAATTTTAGTTTATCTGTTTGAATATTTGATAAAACTCCTTATAAAATACAGTTTAGTGTATTTTTTCAGTGACAAGTAAGTAATCATTTAAAGTGCCGATTAATATAACTTTTTATATAGCACGTCTTGAGGTATACTAGACTAGAGTACACCCCGTTTGCGTAATATATCGGTTAAAAGCAATCAAAAATCTTTGAACACGTTTACAACATCTTATTAAAAAAAATATTGAAAGAATGCTAGAGCTTCAATATTAAGCCAGATCTGTAATAGTTTTTATTTAATATACTTCACAATAAAAGAACAGTAGCCTTAGCACGAACCAATATCGAATTCGAATAGTTTGTTAGTGCGGAATTTCATTGCCAAATGTGCACTGATTTTTATTTCTCGTTACGTCTATTGTGGCGCTGCTGTTCAAGTTTCCATACAAAATGTGACATTGACATTTCGCACTCGCAAACTATTCGAATTCGATATTGTTTCGTGCTCAGGGTACAATTCTCAAAATGTTTGTGTGCCGATAGCACCGTATCTAAGTAATATTCAATGGGAGTTATCATACTTATGTCTTGGAAATTGTATGTAAATACGTGGACACCTGCTGAATATATTTGTGCATGTATGTACACAAGATCCAATAGTGTTGTATTGATACAGGTTATCGATGTATCCGTATTGTCAACAATTAGAAATTTTCGAATCATTGATTTGGGCAAAATAAATCTGGGAATGGCTCTGATATATTTCGATCAGTTCAAAAAAACACTGTGGATAGTGTTTTTTTTTACTTTAGCTACCGTTATAAATATCTTAAAAACTGTCATCGATAACATCGATGCTAATGAGTAACCGCACTATTTAAGTGTGTTTGAGAATGTTCAATGGAGTGCACTTGACTATGTAAACGCACTAATACGAACGGGCTACGCAGCATAGCGCTATGTTAATACGTATGAGTAGATAACTAGATACGTACGTGTGACAAGTTATACCGGAACTGTGATTATGCATCACAAGGACGGTAATATCCACTGAAGGCGGGGCCTTAATACCACTATTATAAACGGCTTATATGGTTTGACAATTTCTTAACTCGTCAATGGATATCGGCGTGCCCAATAGGGCAGCATTCTATAATATACAATATTCTAATCCAATTTTAAATTCAAATTGAATTTTTCTATGAGTCTATTTATTTTTTTCATTACTCATTTCATTAAACTCATTGACAGTATAAAATGTTATGTTAATTAACATATTTTCACTTCATGGGCAGCACCATGGTGGAAAAAAGATTGTAGTGTTTCCATGGTTACTCGATTATATTAAAGATTGTAGTGTTTCCATGGTTACACGGATTAGAGCTATGTCATACTACAAAAATGTTTAGGTATCACACAAAAAATAGGAAAAAAAACATGACAATATTTCAATTCTTGATTGTTTAATAAAATCTTGTTTTAAAATAATCTCTATACTGACACATATTGTCTATAAATTTGATAGTATTAATATAATTCTTTGATGTGGTATTCCGTTATCAATATTATAATTTATTGTTATTGGTGTTTCAATAAAAGCCTCGATCGGAGATACCGTGCGTCTAGAGCGGGCTGTATTGTTTCCATATCTCGAGAAGACAAACCGGCCGATCATATTTATGTTAAGGTTCTCCCACACGCAACGTTTTGCATCAAACTTTCAGGACAGGGTTGGCTCATCGTACGTACCTACATAATACATATATAAATGTATAGAATAGTATCATTGCAGATATTCATGCAGCTTTTGATTGTTTCTTGATTATTCAGACTGTGGATGAGTTGTTAATGGAATCTACTTTTATCTCTAATGCTAGCAAGGTATTCGAAATTGATCAGTCTTTTACTGATAGTAATTAAAAGTAAAAGTATTATTTTATTTAAATACATTAGACGACCTTTGTGGCTGATTGGTTTACTACGCCGGGTTTCAATGTGTCACCTACTCGAGAGGTTCTGGGATCGGATCCCGATGGGAGCAGATATTTGTGTGATGAATACGAGCATTTGTACTCCAGTCACGGATGTTTAATATGTATTTCTATATAAATATACTATAGTATATGTATTCTAATCGTACTCTAGCATCCCATAACACAAGCCTTTACAGTGCTTACTTTGGGGCTAGGCTAATTGGTGTGAGTGTTGGATATACATATATACTTTATTTTCCACGTGGACTCAAGGTTTTTAGCAGTTTCTTCATTAGCTTACTTATGTTGCATGTATATACCAAATCACATTCAATTTTATTGCGCAGTTTAGGATTTAGGTGCAAATGGGTAAAAAATTACACAAAAAAATGACCTGAAACATTACCAAAAATGTACACACAATACTTTATTATAAGCACTTTGATAAACAAAAAACGAATTTTATATGTAACAACAAAGGTGTAATCAGAATGTGTTTCCGACTGTAGAATGTAATACTAACTTTTGGAATCTGAGCCAAGAGTTTTGGTAAACATAATGAATTACAGCGAAAATCAGAAATTATTTTATTATTATTATTTATATTAAATTTTATAGTGTATAGCGTTTTAAAACAAAGTAAGAAAGTTGTAATGATGAATTTTTTTTCCAGGTAACCCTGTTCGAGGTAGCAATACAATCAATTCCACAAGATCGCCAGATTCTCTTCCCGTTGCAACCATACCTGCGTAAGAATTTTTCACATTATCGTTCTTCAGGGATACGATTACATCTGTATGTGTGTGAACGATCCTTAAGTGCTATTCTTTTTCTGTGTTGTACAAGAAATTTCATATCACGAGTTCCTGTACGATATTACCTTCCTCTGTTTGAGATTATATATTCTATGCTTATTATACTGAAAATATTCAAATTATAACAATGAAAAGCAAAGAAAATTAACGTTAATTTTAAATATAATAAAGTTCAATTACTCCGTACAAAATACACGGGTCGCTGACAATAATTTCAATTATCCTCACAAGCTGACTGCGTATTGAAATAAATTTCAACAGACCTCATTTTGTAGCTACAAAGTCCCTTAAAGTTTCGGGGTATCCTAATGTCGGAGATTGTGTTTTGATGTAATTATATCAACGTCTCTTTTTGCTTGCTCGGCGCAAACTCAATATACTGTTTGCTTCAAGTGATACAAGAGATACTTACTCGTGTACTGTACGACATAAAGATATAATAAATACAGTCATTATCTCTATACGCATTCTACAATCTTGTTAAGTAACTCTGACTTGGTATGAGAATAATGATACTGATTTGTTATCTTCCAATAACATCTATGAAGAGACTAATGTAATTATCATAATACATATCAAGATTTTCTGACATATCGTTGAATGAATATTATAAAGAGTTAAAATAATTTCAATTCTTCCGATAATTTATTGTTCTTAAAATTTTTGAGTCGCTTTCTTCATAATACAAAAATCTACAAGTTTGTACTGTGTTATTGCTAATTCTAGTTACTAATTAAATTGAACATTAAATTGTATCTTATTGTAAATTCCGACTTATGAACTTATATAATTCTGAACCAATTGACGCAACCAGTATGTTGTACTAATAGGTATGCATCGTTATAATTATTGATCAAAACTTCATTGCTTTCGATCGAATTTAAAATCATATTAATATGAAAAACGGAACATTTCACATTATATTTATAAACACAAAATATTATTGATAAACAATCATTATACGTCCGTGATAAAATGTAGTATGTGGATATGTTATATAGGGAATAACTTATTTATTAAAAAGGAACAAAACCGTAAACACAACGATACTAGCAACAGCGCATAAACAAAACAGTAGGTTAGGTTGTGAGTGTTGTGGAAATCATAAAGGTCTGTTTGCGTTCCTACAGTTCGGCTGAGTTGTACCGCGGAATGTCGACGCGATGACATTTCGAAATCGTCACGAGACGGATTATTAACAGTTAATGTGGTATCGTAACGTTTTACCGTTTTACAGCCACTTAGGACCAAAGCTCGAATTACCTCAGCTTTGTCCTACGCTGCCGCGCGTTATCGCTGAAATCATCTTTTACCGCCGCCGACCGGGATACTGTTGCATGCGTTTTAATTTCTGTTTATAACTCAGAAAATTTATACAGTACCTTGGTTTATTTTGAAATTTTATGGTTCACCTTAATTAAAAAGTATATAGCCACTAATGTATTTTTAAGTGTATAATGCTATGGCCACACAAATACGCTATCGTATAATCTGAAAGCTTTTTGACCCGCTATCAATAAAAACTTGGGTAGCTCACTTCTTGTCACTGTATAAAGTTCCGTGAGTCAATTTTCTTTTCTTCCTACATAAATTTTGTTCAAAGCCGATTATATAATTTCTTTTTGCGAAGCTTTTTACATTTAAATTTATGAATATGAAATATCGTCGGGTCGATGCAATCAAGATCATTATTAATGGAACAGATGGAATCTACGAGCCCGAGAACATAAGTAGTGTGGAAGCAACAAAAAAATCTAAAAAAGATTTTGTATCTCGTATTCAAGTCACTCAATCTAGAGTTGTTACAATGAGATGTATAATTTGTTACCGATATCTTTGCCGACAAAATAACTGAGATTACCGTTACCGAATTCGGATGATGAGATAGAAATCTATTAATAACATTCGGTCATCGCCGACGGACAGATCTATAAATGATGAGTTTCGTTTCATCTCAGATCTTATATCTACGCATGATTGATGGAGCGACCGGTAGTACTTAGGGTTTCTATTAGCTGGTTATTGTTTTCTCGGCCATTATACTTACATTAGCATACTCATGTTTCGCTTCATCTACAGCTGTGATAACGTTAATTATTTTGAATAACTTTCTGTTCTGTTACTTTGCGAATGTTTTTATTATTCGAGTTAACGACATACAGTTCTTCTGACCTTATTTACATAATATAAAACAAAGTCGCTCCCGGTGTCTGAACGCTTAGATATTTTAAACTACACAATGGATTTTAATACTTATTTTAAATCTACATTTACTACGTATAAGTACTGAAAAAAACGTGCTAGATATAGCGCCATCAAACACGATGTATATGAATTTGCGTCGTTAAAAGAATTCTATTGTACAAATATTACCCCGAACTGTACGTAATGTATGTGAGCACGACGTCGCCAGGTGTTCAAACCTAAATGAATGAACAATAGGTTTTCTAAATATTTGGTAATGTCGAGTCATTGCATAATAATGCATTAGGCTATATTGTTAATATAAATTGAATGGTTATGATATCGAAACTTAACGAGGGTTATTTGAATAACACTAAACGAACAACATATTATATTATGTACATAAATATCTTTTCTAGCTATCCTTTGCTGGATACGTTGAGCCGCAAAACAAAACCTTACAATACCATGCAATAAATAAATACAAATTAACTCCAATATCGAAAACGCGATCAAAAGAACGCAGTGAAATAACAATACTCTGAATTTTCAAACTTCGTGTTTTGTTTCTTTCGGCGACTCAGACTTCGAGTACTTCACAGGTTATGGGGTAAGGGTAGACAAACTGAGACTCTTATATCAGAAGTGTCTTATCTTAAAGCTATGGATGCCGCTAATTGTCACGCAGGCTATATGCTAGTACCTACCCTTTTTGCCTCAAAAATATCACTCGTTAGTCACGCGTCCATAACGTCATTTTACATATTAGCTGTTTTCCAGAAACACCATTGAAGCTTGCTACTCCAAGGTTTCAGTAATATTTCGAAAGTACTCTCTCTAGTAGATTATAATTTTGGTATCTACTTAGCGGACTTACAAATTACCTATTGCATTTCTTTTTTCTACTCGTAGTCTAAAATAAAACGTCTTTCATAAAGAAAGTTACATATTATGTGTTACTGTAAGGTAACCTATAACTAACAGTACGTTGAAATTAGTAAACCTTTTTTCTTTGTAGAACAACAACTATTTAGAGTTGATATCATTACGAAGCGCAGTCTTTTATCGCTTCCACTCGATGTTACGATGTTTTGAAATCCACTGCTGGTATGTCTTGTACAACGGCTATCATTTAGTTAATTGCCCTTAATTAATTAAAGGTTCGGTCTCAAAATCGAAGCCTTCTAATGATCCAAACGATGTACACGAGTCCCGGCTTGTAGCCCATTAATTGATACGAAAAAAGTTATTCGACTCGAAAAAGAGAGATAAAAAATCACGCAAGGACAGACCACACAGCCGTTTAACACGACTTGTGAGTGTAATGATAATGATATGCACATTTGAAAGCTTATGTTTAAGTTAACGTACTCAAAGCACTACATGAACACGTTTCGAATGAAAAACAATTTTGTGCGTGTTCTTCATGGAATTTTAATAAGGGAAACATCGATGTTTCTGGTTACATTCCCTCGAACAGCCACACTCATTAATCTTGTCTGTTATAGGGGTAATTACTTCTTATTATTCGGAGTCATTGACACTTATTGTGTTCAGTGTCAGCTAGCGACTGTATAGGTTACTTTATATATTAATTGATACTGTTTAAAGGTATAACATTCTAATTGGTAATCAGAAAACACTGCAATCTAAGGCGGAAACCAATGTTTCGAACAATAACCAATGTTTCGAAAATTCTTAATTTTTTAAGTGAAAATAGTAGCAAAAACACATAGGGCGCTCCTGATATTATATACTCTTGCGATATAAAAGAGCATCACCAGCGCGTTGTCTACCCTGCCCCTTTCCCTTAATCCTGGAGTACCTGACTCTACAAAAGGTTAAAAGAAATTATAAAAATAAACACTTTGTTATTATTCTGGAAAAAGGATCTCCCTCTGATGTTGCTTGAATGTCTAAACGTAAATTTGAAATCTATGGCATCTTAATTTTTTTTTTAATTTTTTCTAATTTTTGTTCGGAAAACTTTTAAAGTTCACGTTTATTTTCATTGAAAGATCAAAATTAACAAAGACGAAAAAAAAGTTAAATTGACCTTAAGCAAGATTGTGAATACTAATTTGACAAGATCGTAAAGTAATAACAGAGGAAGTGAATATCTACTTCATCGGTAGATAAGTATTAACCCATTATGATTTCGAGCGGAGTAAGTTTCAATTTTAAATCCTCCCCTAGCTGAGTACAAGATTAACAATGATAATTTCCACCAGAGCCCACGTGCGTTCATGTTCGCCGGTTCGGATCGCGGGGCGGCGCGGACATGTATCCGTTTACTAATCTGCATATTCAATGTGCTCAACAACCAAAATGTGCGCCCGGACCAATTATCCAGCGTTACATTTTGTGCACTATCCCTTCAGAAATAAGGATTAATAACGCTAAGCGATCACGCCTAACAACCGAACGAGTATTGACACACGCCCTTGTCGCTTTGTTCTAATCTCCACTACAAACAAAGGCCTGAGCGTGCTCATCTGCATGTACAATACAGATTCATTCCAAATAAACATCTTGGAAGGTTCATAGAAAAATAAAATGTTGTGTTCAAGAAATTAAGGTTATCTCATTTTGATGCATTCAAAGAATGAATTGAAAATTTTACGTAAGAAATCTTCACATGCCACGGTTTTTCCTCAAACTTACCCATACTAATTTCCTTTACATCAATATTTTGAACAATATAAAAGCTTTTATCACAGAAATAAATCGCTCTTAACGTTTGACTTGTA